CTGAGCTACCTAACTGTCACTGAGCCAACTAGCAGCTACAGAAGCAACGCCCGAATCAACGCGAGGCAACCAGACACGCAGTTTCCTCTTCTAACTTTCCCTTCAGACCACCACCAGCAGAATGATCGCACTGAACGTGTGTTTGACTGGAGAATCTACCCTGCATCAGTGCTGCCTCACCTCCGAGTATGCCTCCATGTCCTCGAGGAACTGACCGAGCAGGGTGACGGAGAAGGAGAGGTCGCCAACCCAGAACTGCTGCAGGCTGGTGAGGGCGGCCGCGGCGTAGACGATGAGAGACTCGCGCTGCGTCGAGTCGATGTGCCAGCCGACGAGAATGTCAACCGTGTCCTGCCGGGTGACAAGTGACATCGTCGCGTCACGCGCACACGAAGGCGTCATCGCGCACGAGAATGTCATCGCAGCGTTACGTGATTGTAGTAGCTGGTGTAAGTGTGTGTTAAGATAATGGCATTAGTTAGGGCTGCCATCAAAGATCGCGATGTCTCGACGTATCCTGATTTTTAGTCAAAAATATGTTTTTGTAGAAAAATGTGTAATTTGTTCTTTCTCGGTAGTAATTGGATGGACGGATCGGATCCAAAATCCGATCGGATACAAAAGATAGACAGTCAAAGGTTAAGGGTTAGGGATTGAGGGATGCATCAGGGTGACATTAAAGGTTAGGGGTTGAGGTTAAAGGTTAGGGATTAAGGTTAGCATCAGCATGATGGTCGGGGTTAGGGATTAGGGTAATGCTGAGGGTTAAGGGTTAGGGTTTAAAGTTAGAGATTATGGTTAGCAACAGGGTGATGGTGGAAGTTACACGCAGCGGCATCTCACCCTGAAGTGCGTGTTGAAGCACTTTGGCTGAATCTTGACGATCTGCAGTAGCAGGTCGACCGTCGCCGTGAACACGTCCGGCATGACCGCTGTCTCCAGCGCCACCTGCAGCTGACGCATCACCGCCTGCAGGCAGTCCGCAAACACCTTACGCTCCTTCGTGATCGC